GGATATTGTTATCATAAATCTTCATGAAAAGCATCTTGCAATATACGGTTTTTACCGTGGTCCAGATTAAAGTAGGATATTGTTATCATAAATCATCATGAAAAGCATGCTGTAATATACGGTTTTTACAGTGGTCCAGATTAAAGTAGGATATTGTTAGCATAAATCATCATGAAAAGCATGTTGTAATATACGATTTTTACAGTGGTCCAGATTAAAGTAGGATATTGTTATCATAAATCATCATGAAAAGCATGTTGTAATATACGGTTTTTACAGTGGTCCAGATTAAAGTAGGATATTGTCATCATAAGTCATTGTTCTCTAAGATGACGCAGGCTGAAACTATACAGTATTTGTTTTGGACTCAGATGGGTGACTTAAGACGAGAAAATTACCATTAGAGATGTTTAGCATATTCAAACGAACCTAAATAGACATATGGAATTAGTCAGAAAACACCTATACCCTTGCGATGTTCAACAGTATTTTATTCGATATTACTTTCAGGTAGAACAATCTTTAGAGTTATATTTGTCGAGTGATATTTTACCTTAGCCGTATCATTCTTTGTTCACTTAGATATTTTATCCTAGCCGTATCATACTTTGTTCCTTTAGATATTTTTTCCTAGCCGTTTCATCCTTTATTCACTTAGATATTTTACCCTAGCCGTATCATTCTTTGTTAACTTAGATATTTCATCCTAGCCGTATCATCCTTTGTTCACTTAGATATTTTAGCCTAGCCGTATCATACTTTGTTCATTTAGATATTTTATCCTAGTCATAGCATACTTTGTTCACTTAGATATTTTATCCTAGCCGTATCATACTTTGTTCACTTAGATATTTTTTCCTAGCCATTTAATCCTTTATTCACTTAGATATTTCATCCTAGCCGTATCATCCTTTGTTAACTTAGATATTTCATCCTAGCCGTATCATCCTTTGTTAACTTAGATATTTCATCCTAGCCGTATCATCCTTTTTTAACTTAGATATTTCATCATAGCCGTATCATCCTTTGTTAACTGAGATATTTCATCCTAGCCGTATCATCCTTTGCTCATTTAAAACATCTAATAGAATAATGACGCTCCATCTGAAACGCCACATCTTAAAAACCACCAAATTATCTGAAATCCCAGTGGAACAGAATTCATCAGCTTAGCTTTTCCGCGCCAAATATGTACAATAATTGGTCAGGAGTGCGTAACAGGGAAGTGGTTCAGCAATCAAGTCAACCGTGAAATATGCAGCAGTGCAAAATAATTTAGGAGGCAGAGTAGAACACGAAGCAACTAAGTAAGAAGAAATACTGGAGCTTTACTTTTTACAGGGGTTTTATATCAACGTTATTTAGGTAATAAGCATGGTCTTAGCTATCTAGCTGGCATCCTAGTTGAAATAGGTTACAAAAAACAATGATTAAAAATGGGCAATTGTAAATCATTACGCTATTTATTCAGAAGAAATAAAATGCATCCACATTCAACTAAACCTTAATGTGAAACAGAGCACATTTCCATGAAAATTCATTTTCCGAGACTCATCTCACAAAAAGCCAACAGGTACTAAAATATATTAATAACTTAAGAACAAATTAGGCGCGTAATCTTCTGTTGATAAGTTACATCAATGAGTTACTTTTTTTACCATAAGTAAACATGGTTTTATCTACCGTCATTATGGGGATCAATAGATCATCTATTGTTAAACTTTGCGCTTTGTTAACTCTGGCTAATGATCAAGAGTTACTATATTCATAGTAAGGCCCGGTACCAGGCCTTCTGTGGTCCAGGTGCTTATACTTGTAGTAAGGCGCTTTAAATCTTAGTTCAATTTTATTGGAAATATAAAAAGAACGATATATTGTCAAAAAAAAAACAGAATGAGGAACCACTTGTGATTGAGAGACGTGGTGCGATGTACCCTTTGCATCCCCCCATCCTCAATAACCCCCAGCGGTTCTGCTCGTAGTGATGGAGCTCTGGGAATTAAACCTAATTTCACGTACCCTATTTGAATAGAAGTAAAGTTCGCACTTTGTTTGGTAATGGAGGTAAAGTCACCTTTTAATCCCCCCCCCAAAAAAAACGTTACTATACTCCCATTGAGTTTACAGGTGATTGTTGACTTAGCATACGTGTAGAGGCTCAAAAGCCAAACGAAGCAAGCACAAAGCATTTATTCATCCAAGGCTAAAATCCACTTATTATAAATGGAGAACTACCAAATTATCTGAAATCTTTTTATTTATCGTGAAAGGCATTCATTGCATTGATAATGAAACTGCAAGAAATGAAAAGCTAAACAGTGATCATCTAATTAACTAAATCGATATTCTCAGAGATGTCTAGATTCACGAGCAGCTAAGTTTGAAGGGTCTACTGTATTCTCAGAGATATCTAGATTCACGAGCAGCTAAGTTTGAAGGGTTTATTGTATTCTTAGAGACGTCTAGATTCGCGAGCAGCTAAGTTTGAATGGTCTACTAAAAGTGATACAGTCAAATTTGACTAATTTAAAATTCTCGATGTTTATAAACTTCATGTTTGTGACTGTTCATTTCTGGGACAGTGTGGATATAATCTGACAGAAGGAACATTTTTACCATAGTATTGTATAGGCTATACATATTTTATAAAGTCAAACCAGGGTTAGTAATAATGCATGAAACAACTGCATTTCTTAACAAGCCTTTTAAATATTTAGTGTGCGTATTTTGTAAACCAAATGTCACGGCGTACTGTAACTTAATGTTTTCTTCCATTGCAGATACTTAGATGTAACTCAATATTTCCTTATAACGCCTGTCCCCGGCGACTCAGCAGTAAATCTGAGGGCTTATAACGTTAAAATTTCGACACCTGCGGTGTGAAGAGCACAGGTAGTCCATTATACAGCTTTGCGCTTAACAATGAACAAACAAAAAACAAAAGCAAACTTATCACACCTACGCGTTACGCAACGATCCAAATGTCAAAGTTATTGATTTTGTGTACGCTTGCCTCCATTTCTAACGGCTTGATTTAATACCTACGCTGGGACGAAATATTGATTAGTAACTGTGACAGCTTATCTTTGCCGTCAACCTTCAGGCAATAATAAATACACCACCAGAGTGCAGAAATAATGAGGCTTCAACCGATTCAACGTACGTACATGTTGGGGCACTTTTACCTCCAAGCGTTGAAAAAAAAAAGTAAGAATATTGCGATCTTCAGTTCGTTTAACAATAACAAAGTTTTAAAAACTTTTTCAAACAATATACTATATTTCAGTTGAAAAGTTAATAACTTGCGTCTAGAGTTGATACATATCACTAATTTATATACATATATATCTATATATAGCAATTTTAAGTAATACTTAAGTTTACATGATTGCTATGAGATCGTTATTAAACTTCATTTGTATTAAAGAGAAAGTGATTAGGACTGATTTGGAATTGTAGATTATTTTAAAATAAAAACTGGTAAATTGATAGTGACTGTCATAGAGACACTCACCATGTCATTTTCACTTGAGAAAATGAGGATTATATAATCACAGTAAAGATTCTTTTCACTTGGCTTTGTTACTAGAACTATTGATGGCAGAAACCATTAGAACTGACAGGTCACTTCATCAAAGAAGAGAGAGAGAGAAATTGAGACCCTGTACAATTGATAAAGACATGAAAAAAATTTGATAATAAACGAAAGTGAGTAAAATTTGTAAATTTTAAAATACTTCAGCTTATTATCTTATGAAAAGAATATAAGATATGTAGTGTAAATGATATATCATAGAACTGTCTTTTCTCTACCTGGATTGCCAGGTGGTCCTGGTGTGCCTGGTGGGCAGAACTCTCTAGTGGACTGACAGTACTCTTCAAGGACAGGCAGCTGGATAAGAAAAATCGATAATCATTATCAGCTCCACAAGGATAGCCATCTTCAGTCGCAAATGAAGTTAGACTAAAAGCTTAATACAACAGTTAATACAATTGTTGTATTAACTACTGTTTCAACAGTTTTTCTTACTTGAACGAGAAGTAAAACCTGGTGTTTATTTTTTATTGTATGTTATTATTGATAAAAAGAAAATGTTATGAGACCATAAATATAGTGTTAAATGTTTATGTATTTTCTTCAGTAAAAATAAGGGTATAAGGTTGCAGTTATTAGAATAACACTTTGCTACTAGTCATCCAAACAATTACACAAAGTTAGTGCTACTAGTCATCCAAACAATTACACAAGGTTAGTGCTACTAGTCATCCAAACAATTACACAAATTTAGTGCTACTAGTCATCCAAACAATTACACAAATTTAGTGTCACTAGTCATCCAAACAATTACACAAAGTTGGTGTCACTAGTCATCCAAACAATTAAACAAAGTTGGTGTCACTAGTCATCCAAACAATTACACAAAGTTAGTGCTACTAATCTTCCAAACAATTACACAAAGTTAGTGCTACTAGTCATCCAAACAATTACACAGATTTAGTGCCACTAGTCATCCAAACAATTACACAAAGTTGGTGCTACAAGTCATCCAAACAATTACACAAATTTAGTGCTACTAGTCATCCAAACAATTACACAAATTTAGTGTCACTAGTCATCCAAACAATTACAAAAAGTTGGTGTCACTAGTCATCCAAATAATTACACAAAGTTGGTGCTACTAATCATCCAAACAATTACACAAAGTTGGTGCTACTAGTCATCCAAACAATTACACAAAGTTAGTGCTACTAGTCATCCAAACAATTACACAAATTTAGTGCTTATCCAGTCGAAGAAGCAGATGAGTGGTAGGATATAAAAACATAAAATTACATCAAACGAAACACAGAGAAACTGTAAACAACATGCATGATTGTAACACAATCTTTCAACTGTTCACGTATTCAAGAAACTAACCTATGCGTTTCCTGTATTTTCTTCCCTACGTTCAGGTTTTGGAAACACGTTTAAGGATATTTAATGAATTATTAGAGAGATAAATTGACAAATCAATTTATATTATTGTTCTTTCTGAAGCCTCTTGTCCCCAGATTGGACAACGGTAAGTCTACGGACTTACAACGTTTAAATCCGGGGTTCGATTCCCCACGGTAGACACAGTAGATAGCTTAGTGTGACTTTGTTCTCAAAACAAACAAACAAACTGAAACCTCTTTGTGACAATATGTTTATTAACGTCACATAATTACGTTTTCAAAAACAAGAGGCAATTATTACGTCCTTTTAGTTTACGTTGCCTAGTTTATAGTTTTTGGTATTAGTTAGATGTTCAAAGTATATTGAAAAAGTTTCAGAGATTTATAGTGAAATACAAATGGGGATGAATTCCTTTCGCATTAATGGTTTTTTAAGATATGTTTCTTTAAAAACCAAACTTTTCTTTCAATCAACCCCTCCATGGGATAGAGGCTCAGCATTACGTCTAAGGGCTTATAACGCCAAAAATCGAATTTCGATACCCATTGTTGTCACACCGCAGATAGCCCATTGTGTAGTTTTTGTGCTTAATAGGAAACAAACATGGTGTATTTCATGAACTATTATATACATATATATATATATATATAATGTGATATTTTATGTTTCGGTATTTCACTGTGTTACTAATACCTAAGTGCCGTAATGTAGATCCATGGTTCGCGTCCCATTACCAAAAAAAAAGAAATCACTCTCTACACTTTGGAGCTCTATGTGCGTTATAAGTGTGACAGTCCATTAGAGAAACTCACAAGTTGAAGGTGTGTGGTTTTGATTACGGACGGCTAGTGAAGATAGGCCTCGAGTAGCTTTGTGCAAAATACAACACATAACAAGAACTAACATCTAAATTATAAAACATATTTGCAAAGTCGTATCTCAATATTATTAAGCGATGTGTTTAATTATCTAAGCCAGAACAAAAAAAAAAAAGAACACGGGGGATATAACTCTCGTTTTAATCGTGTTACTTCTTTCAAATAAGATGTTAAGTGATTCAAAACGGAGAAACTTTAGTTTTTTTTTCTCTCTTCAGTTTTATCACATAAATCTTACGCGGATTAAAAAAAAACAGTTTTATTTTAGGTGCTGGATGCTGTTAATTCTAACGGAGTTACAAAGTATTATTTAATTTCACCATACATCTGCTGTTAAATTGACTGCTTTGTATTGCAGAAGTATAGCATCCTGGATGCATAATAAAATCTAAGGATTTGTATCTAAGGTATGAATAAGGGTGTTATATATATAAAAAGGTCATAAATAAACATTGTAAAGTTTATTGTTGTATATTGTTGAAATAGAATGACATAATAAAATCTAAGGATTTGTATCTAAGGTATGAATAAGGGTGTTATATATAAAAAAGGTCATAAATAAACATTGTAAAGTAGTTATACGAGTATATTGTTGAAATAGAATGACATAATAAAATGTAAGGATTTGTACCTAGGGCATGAATGAGGATATTATATATATAAAAAGGTCATAAATAAACATTGTAAAGTTTATTGTTGTATATTGTTGAAATAGAATGACATAATAAAATGTAAGGATTTGTACCTAGGGCATGAATGAGGGTATTATATATAAAAAAGGTCATAAATAAACATTGTAAAGTTTATTGTTGTATATTGTTGAAATAGAATGACATAATAAATTGTAAGGATTTGTACCTAGGGTATGAATGAGGGTATTATATATAAAAAGGTCATAAATAAACATTGTAAAGTTTATTGTTGTATATTGTTGAAATAGAATGACATAATAAAATCTAAGGATTTGTATCTAAGGTATGAATGAGGGTATTATATATATAAAAAAGGTCATAAATAAACATTGTAAAGTTTATTGTTGTATATTGTTGAAATAGAATGACATAATAAAATCTAAGGATTTGTATCTAAGGTATGAATGAGGGTATTATATATATAAAAAAGGTCATAAATAAACATTGTAAAGTGGTTAGACGAGTATATTGTTGAAATAGAATAACATTTTAGCTGCAATATGAGGGGGAGACTTTCCCATCCTTGAAAAAGTGGGGTGACATTTCTCCATCCTTAAAAAAAGTAAGGAGGGCATGTTCCTCATGAAAATTACGCGTATGATAATTTGAGACTGATTGAGAAGTTCTTGATGTATTATTTATGAATAACAAAACCCGCGTAATTAAGAATACTGCCCAATACACAAGAGAACTGATAAGATCTTCAATTTTCTTTTGTGTACATTAATCAACAACCAGCACTTATCACTGTGGTAAAAAAAAAAGTTCCAGAAAACATTCAGGTCTTTCAAAGCTGGGCGTTTACTTGGTGGGTGTTACTTAGTATTCGCCCAAAGATAATTTTACCTAAACCAGGTTAAGCCATTGAAAATCACCGAAATAATTAAATTTGGCTAAGATGAAACAAACTGAAGTAGGTCTTTAATTAGTAAGATGAACGAAAGTAATTAAGTGTATTCAGGATATTTAATAGCGTTTAACTACACACAAACAAAAAGTTGCTCACTTTAATTCAGAGATACATTTACAAATAGTTAACAAACACGCTTTTTTACACAAGTTTAAAGTAATTACGTATATTCAGAATATTTAATAGTGTTTAACTACACACAAACAAAAAGTTGCTCACTTTAATTCAGAGATACATTTACAAATAGTTAACAAACACGCTTTTTTACACAAGTTTAAAGTAATTACGTATATTCAGAATGTTTAATAGTGTTTAACTACACACAAATAAAAAGTTGCTCACTTTAATTCAGAGATAAATATACAAATACGCTTTTTTTTACCCAAGTTTACAACAAATGATGACTGAGTAAATTCATCAAAAACACTTCATAGTGTTAATATAAAATGGCTCAACGGCAAGCTTAAGAGATTATAGCGCTAACATTTGGGGCTTCTACCCTGTGGTGGGAACAGCGTAGGTAACTCAATGTGCAGGTTTGCTTTTAAACCAAAACAGTGAATTTCTAAATACTGATATTTGTACATTTTGTACAGTTTATTTTATAAATCGCCATGTACAACACCTAAGCTTTAATTAAAAAAATATGTGTTAAAAGAAAATGAAGCTAATTATCCCCTATCCAGGAAGTTTCTATACAGCTTTTTGGAAAGTTAAAGATTTGAAATAAAAAACAGAAGAACATGCAAATATAAGTTTGATCATTATTTAGCCATAGATAGATCGTGAAACATAAGTTTTTGATACTATAGGTTTCTTTGGATCCTTGCTAATTCAAAACAATGTGTACAACCTTTCCCATTGAATTTTTTTTGGTAAGAAATGTATATTCTAACGTTAGTTGTTATTATTTCGAGAAAATTTAGAATAGTGAAAGTGACACATTTAATTTTCCACTTCTGGATGGGTCCTTATGTGTCAGCCATAACTAGAGGTTAGGCAGGATAAGTATTACTGAATTTCTAATACATTGGATACAATTTAGTACAATGTGAAAAACAGACCCGTATTTATTTGTATAAAACAAATGTACAACTCTGTACAGACAAGAAGAGTGCACATAAAAGGCACAGTGCTATTTTCTTATTGTCGAGAGCTCTACTTAAGGCAGAAATATGCAAAAGTCTAAGCAAAACCCGAAATGAGACTGAAAGAATCAAACATTATATACTTGTTACAATAGGGTGAACTTTCCAGATTGCATTTCTTACTCTCATAACCTGGCCAGCCCATCAGTAAAATATAAGAACAGCCTCCAGGTATTCCAGGTTAGTACAAGTACGATGAATTTTCCAGTGACGCCTTCTGTGGAAGAGTTCAGAAACACCACAAAATACTTTGCCCTCCCGCTTTAACTACTGATGAAGACATCCCAATCCTATCATCTTACTACAGTGGGTTAATCATACTTTA